TGAAGGTTGTCTTGGGGATCCGCTTTTCGAGCTGGAATCCGGCATTCCAGCTCGAAAAAGCGGATCCCCGGCCAATCCCTCCTGAAAAGGGGGCCGTGATGAAGGTTGTCTTGGGGATCCGCTTTTCGAGCTGGAATCCGGCATTCCAGCTCGAAAATATAGCGGATCCCCGGCCATCCCCTCTGAAAGGGGGCCGTGATTGAAGGTGGGTCTTGGGGATCCGCTTTGAGTGGAATCGGCATTCCAGCTCGAAAAGCGGATCCCCGGCAATCCCCAATCCCTCCTGAAAGGAGCCTTAGAAAGGAGCCTTAAGAAAGGAAGGAGCTTCCTACCCCTATACTTTTCCGCGTGTAGTGGCTTCACTTCCGTAAGCAGTGACAGTTTCACTTCCGTAAGCAGTGACACCTTATCCGCTCAGAGTGATCATGATTCCGCAAGATGTGACAAGTCTTCCGCCTTCCCCCGCCCCGCCCCCAGATGACGGAACATTCTCTCAGCACTGACATTGGACAATTCTAGACTGGCATTGGGACACCTCATGAGCGTGTGCATGACCAAAACTTCAGTGAGATGTGACCCGAGACCACGGCAGCAATAGCATGGCAACCCAAGTGAAGTGCCCGTGGCGTCCTTTTCTCACATTTTCCTGAGACCAGTCGGAAGCACTTCCAGAACATCGACTTGAATCAGCATCCTGCTTGCACTGCCGACGAGGATGCGAGCTCGCCTTTTTCCAAGAAAACGATCAATCTGGGTGAGAAAAAACAACCAGTGTGGAAGGGATCCATATGTGCTGTCATTTGGTGTGAACAGTTTGTCTTCGATGCGAAAAAGCGAAGGATTCCAAGAACAGGGGCCCTCACTGGCGAGATAGAGGTCTCGAAATAAACCACCACTGTAGCACTTCCGAGCAAAACATTTGACCTCACGCGCAATGGATCCAGTTCGAAGGGTGTGGCAATCAAAGTTGAATAGGAGGGGTTACCAAACCGCAGGTTTTGGCAACCATGTTTCCACTTCGCAGGGCAAGCCATTGTGGAATTCCGGTTTTTTGAGCCGCAGCCATATGCTTTGGCTGGGAATGTTGCCCACTACCCCCACTACACGCATTGCCACTACTCTCAACCGATGGGAGGCACAATCACTAATACAGCTGTTCAAAAAGTGAGCCTTATTCTCTGACGGTGACGCCACTGTGGCGCGTGTGTCATTGCCTTTAACACAGGAAATGATGGAAACGGAACCAAAAGGACTGATGTTGACATCGAAACGGAGGCCGAAACAAACTCTCAAATTGCAGGATCCCCCTCACACACAAAAAGAAAAAACCACCAGAGGCCAACAGGAAATCCATCACTTTCCACGCGTTCTCCTCGGTCCGCTTCCCGCGGACCGAGGTCCAGTCCCAGTCTGGCAGAGCAAGCATGAAACAAGCAGACCCTGACTCCCTTCAAAGTAAACCGAAAGGCAGGTTGTGTGAACAATGGCGGTTTATATCATGGGAACAAACAGAATGCCCAGCTCTGGCCCTAAAAGAAACTAGCGCACCCGAAACCAAACCAAAAACCCCAAGACAACTCTCCATACCTAACCCAACCCAAGTTTTCTTTTTCTAACCCAAAGCAACTCCAAAAACCAACCCCAAACCAACCCAAACCAAAAACCAACCCCGACCAACTCTCCAAATTAATAAAATTAATTCACCTACCCCAACCCAATTATTTCATACCTAACCCAAACCAACACCAACACCAACAACCAACTCACCTAACCCACCCCAATTATTTCATACCTAAAAACCAACACCAACAACCAACCCCTGCCCCAACTCAAACAATCCCCAAAACCCAAACCACGCCCTGCGCATTTCCGGCCTTCCGGCTTCGCAGATGGCCGAAACCACAGCAGCCCCCCCACCGCCAAGACCGCCGCCAGCGCCACGACCACCGCCAACATCGCCAGCCGCTGCGTGGCGCGCGCCTCGTTGGGTCTGTTTTTCCATGGGTCTGGTTTTGGTTATGCCCACGTAATTTGGGGTTGACTCAAAGAAAGGGTACTCTAGGGGTACCTTCCGAAGTTCTATTGGTACCTTCCAAAGTTCTAGGGGTCCGAAACCTGCGCCATCCGAGATTTGGGAACCAACAAACCCCTGCAAACACGTATTCCCCAGGTTCTGGGAATACCTCGCCCATATCCATTCTTTCCAGGGATCCTTGATAGAAAACCTCTGGAAAAGCTCCAGAAGTCACCGAAGGAGCCTGGGCTTGTCTCAAAATTGGGGAACTCCAGTTTGGGTCTGGTTTTCCAATCCTTTGCGAGTCAACGAAGCTCAAACACCTCAAAATAGAGGGGGGGGTTCTCAAAATAAGGGGGTTTGACCAACCCCAGTTTGGGTCGGGTTTCCATAAGTCGACTGAATTTTGGGTGTCCGTCTTTGCTTTCGTTTGACATGTCCCCAGACCAACATAACATGGACTCCGGGCGGTGGTTTTTCCAGAAGTTCTAGGGGTACCTTCCATTTCCATAAGTTCTGGCTTTCCCCGCGGATCCCCTCCCCTGCTTTTTTTTTGGGATACCACGGCCACGTGTTATGGGGTTCAAGGGCACTCTAGGGGTACCTTCCGAAGTTCTAGGGGTACCTTCCAAAGTTCTAGGGGTCCGAAACCTGCGCCATCCGAGATCTGGGAACCAACAAACCCCTGCAAACACGTATTCCCCAGGGTTCTGGGATTACCTCGCCCATATCCATTCTTTCCAGGGATCCTTGATAGAAAGCCTCCGGAAAAGCTTCAGAAGTCACCGAAGGAGCCTGGGCTTGTCTCAACATTGGGGGAACCCCAGTTTGGGTCTGGACTTCCACAAGTCCTTCGCGGGTCAACACCTCAAAATAGGGGGGTCTCAAAATAAGGGGTTGGACCAACCCCAGTTTGGGTCGGGTTTTCCACAAGTCTACATTCTTTTGGGTGGTGTCCTTCTTTCCTTTGCCACGATTTGAGCAACATGACAGCCACAAGCAGTTCTAAGATGGTTCCGCTTCCGCGTGTGCGGTCAAAAGACGAAAATCTTCGGAGTCACCTTGGCTGAAGGCGCCTGGGCTTGCCTCCAAATCGGGGGTTTGACCAACCCCCTTTGGGCCTGGTTTCCACCAGTCGCTTTTGTTTTGGGTGGTGTCCTTCTTTCGTTGTCGGTTCCAGCTCCTTTGTAAGTTCCAAAAGTCCAAAAAGCCGCCAAGCACAAGCGCTTTTGCACCTTGACCCCGCCCCACCACTGCAACCCCGCAGAGGGTTTCGCACACATCGAAAGCTGCAAAACACCCAAACAGAGAGTTGCGCTGGCATGAGCAAGTCCTCCGAGCAAGTTCTACACAAGGTTGAGCCCGCGTGAATAAACCCGTCCTATAAAAAGGGGGGCGATGTCCCTCCAGAGGTGATGAATCCCCACTAAACCGGGGATTCACCCCCGAATCAACGAAAAAGTCCTACTTTGGGAGTTCCCACTCCCCACATCCTCGCCACTTTCCCATCCGCCTCCAGCCGCGTCTGCTGCAGCGCCGCGTACCGCGCCTCGCTCTCCGCGCTCACATCTTTCCCCTCGCTGCTCGCGCCCACGCGGCAGCGAAGCCCGGGATCCACCGGCATGGCGCTGAGCCGTGAGACAGCGGTCCCAACCCACGAAGCAAACAAGATCTTTACAATGGGCGGACATCCCACGGTGGCGAAGGAAAACTTTTTCTTCTCCCAAGCCCAACCCACAAGGAACGCGATGCTTTCAAAATGGAAGGATTCCGATGGGTATTCAAGGGTTGATTCTCCAGACAGAGGGCGGTGTCCAATGGTTCCTTATTGCAGTGACCCCAGGAAATCCACGAGGAATTGAAAAAATATATGGGCAAGGCATGGGCAATACCTGCGGTGGCTGGATAGCACCATGGGGCGATCCGCAACAACACACGATGGAAGCCTAACCACCAGCACAATCAGGCACAAGATGGTTGGGGATGGTGTGGCCAGCAGAAAACCCAAAATTCCGCTCTTAGCACCGGTTCAGTGTGAGCTCTCGCGTAGGGAGAAAACTTCAAGGTCAGAAGCTGCATGCGCCACTGCCGAGCCAGAGCGGCCCCAGTCGCCTCAATTGCCGGACATGGAACCTGACACGGGGGGGGGCTCCTGGTTTGGACCATTTCCCTTGTAAAGCGACCCGCCGCCAGGTTTCATGTTCATTTGTCGTATGCCCGTGCTTCTTTGCCCAACTCTCCATGGGTGTACGGAGGAACCCCCGTTTCAAGCTACGCTCCCCACCCTGAAGAGGGCCCAGGTTCGGACCCTAAAGAACTCCCCAGTGAACATCCCAATCCAACCAAAATCGACGAAAATGGGTGGTGAATTCACCTACCCCAAAATGGGATGCCCACAGCCATGTGAGCTTTGACAGTTGAACTCGTGACCAGCCACAGGCCCGGAGCCGTGATCCCGGCGCACATTCGAATGTGCTTCAAATGTGGACCCGTCTCCAGCCACCCACCCACCCAGAGTTCTCCGGCCTAAGAAGGCCCTGTGCAGCAGCGGCAGGAGGCACAGGCCTTGTGAGGCTCAGTCAGGGGTGTGGCTGCAAGATGGGGCGGGTTTTCGGCCCATGGCACCCCGGGAAATGGGGAAGCAAATCAAAACCTGCGAAACTTTGTTCTGAGGAGGTGAAACTTTGCGCCGCACCCACATGTTTGAGGCCAACTCGTGTTTGCTCTCCGGCGCAGAACAACACGAGCCCTGGCTTGCCGGATCAATGTGGACGGGGGAAGCCTTCAGGGGACGGGAGTTCCCCCAACCGCGCGGGATCCTCTCAAAAGAACACCCAACCAAACCCAACCAGCATCAATGAACAGGGATCCTTGCATTATACACCTGAACATTGCCTTGCAAATGGTGGGTTCCCTTTATTTTGGTGGACAAAGCCATGTTTCAAATAAATGTATCCTTTAAGGAGCCCTGCTGAAGTGTCAAACTACATTCAGCATTCCATGGTTCAAGGGCTTTTCCGCACCCAATGGGAAGGCCCACCAAGCAGCGCAAAGGCGACTTTCTGTATCACCAAAACCCAGAAAACAGATGCGGGTGCGAAACCCCCGCCTCCGCCGGAATCCCAAGAGCCGAAACACCACCTTGGTTCCTCGCTGAGACAGAAAACTGAAGTGGGAGAACCCCAGGATCCGGGTCCATGGCCATACGGCACTGACCAGCACCGGTAGCCCCCCCAGCCCGTGTGGCGCCTTCAAACATCTCAAGTCTCCGTCTCTCAAAACCTTGGGGAGCCCCAAAACCGCAACACCGGCCTTTGGCCTGCCCATCCGCTTCCCCGGCCTAATGCGCGCCATCGGGCCATGGCCGAGGAGTCGAATCCGCAGATACCCCCCAAAAGGCGCGCCAAAGGCGCGTTGCTGCGTAGGTCGCATGGCTTTCACTGGGGATTGGCGTGTTGTTTGCCTGTTTCTGGCAGTTGTCGTGTTTCCCCCACGTTTCAACGGCGATCGTGTTTCTTGAAAAACAAAAAGTAGCCATGAATTGATCAGTCAAATCCTGAGTTTCTTTTGAGGAGTCCAGGAGTCAGGTCTGAATGCTCGCGGGGGCTAGGGCTAGCTGCTCAAAGTTGCACCGCAGCTTGGCTTTCGTGTCATGCGACTTCTGAAGCGGCCTCGAAACGGGCCAGCTAGTTGAATAGCCTCAAGCCATGTCACGGCGCACCGAGTATTCTCATGTCGGTGTCTGACCCACCGAGCTTGGCTCAAAAAGGTGGCAAGGATGGCTAGCCACAGGCGTGCTTCTAGAGGAAATAGATGGATTCCCTGGTAGATGATTAAACCACTAGGTAAACCAGGGCCATCTATTTCTTCTGCCAAAACAAGAAGGATACCTATGTACCCCACATGACATGCACTGGGGCTTGCTGATCGAGGGCCTCGCTCAAGGTTACGATCGCCCGCTTGGAGGTTCATCCAAGCACGATGAGATGTGAGTTTGCAAGTCCAATCCTGTCAGGCCCCGAATGTAAACTTCACAGTCGAGCAACAGCAAAGCTCTCTGTCAAAATGGCACTGTCAAACTGACATCCAGCGTGGATGATTGGCTTGTGACCTATGTTTGGTCTGTGGTCTAGGGCGATTCGAACATGACTTCCGCCACAACACATTCGCCATCGCGGCTTTCGCCAAAGGTGCTAAGCGCATATCCGCATAGTACCTCACTGAATTCAAGCAAAGATGGGTCTTGCACTAGCTTTGCAGCTTGCATTGCACAAGGCTCTGCATTGAGGCAAGTGCTGTGCGGGTGTTTCCAAATATCAGTAAAACTCTTGTTTTTGGTTGAAGGACATCGCTCTGATGAGCCCATCGCTGGGAAGCCCCTCCACTCAAACTGAGCCGAGCACACGGTGAGACCGGTGAGACCTTCTCACGGGCCGCGGCAGGTGCGGGCCACGTGCGGGCTGCAGCCATTAGCCTGGACCAACCTCGCCGTTCGCGGCTCTAATCTCTTGGTCCTGGCGCGAAAAAAGGAGCCCCTCCTCTCCTTTTCGTGAATATCAAATGTTTATAGCGTGCAAAACAATTTCTCCTCCAGATTTGTTGAAAACGAAGAAATGGTGTGCCAACATTCTGGATGCGTGTCTTGTGGTTTGGGACTTTGCAAATTTGTTGTGTCAGGCAACCCACATTCAAGAACTCAGGTCAATAAACCAGCAACAAATGGCGGACACGTGACTCGTGGCTGCGTGCTGCAGACACTTGAACATCCGTGGGGACATGAGATGGTTGCGACCCTCCGCACCTTCTCCACTGCAATCTTTCGCTTCACGGTCTCCCAATCCTTGGCCCGGGAAGTGCACTGGCACTCCCAATTTCCGAGGTTTCACCTGTTGCGATTAAGATTCCAAGCAAATGACCCCATTTTGGGCTGATACTACAGGGAACCAAAAGCATACCAACCTTATTGAACCCCCAAAATTGCGAGAACCCATCTGAGCCATGAAAACCTACGCCACGGTTCCACCGGGTCCCCAAACATGAGAATGGTTTGTCTGTGAGTCCCTTACATGAAGACCAATTCCGGATGTGACCGAAATCCTAATATAGGTGGACTGTCCAAGTTTTTAAGCCTTCGGACCCTCCACAAGAAGCATCGTGCCATGGCTCTCCTTTTCTGTTGGCTTCCCTTTAACACCACGAAACAACACCCACAACCAAAAGCACACCGCGTATAGCCCCGCAGCCTCAGGACCGGGCCACCTCAACTTGGGTAGCCCACTGCTTGAACTGGTCGTTGGTTTCAACCTGAGCGCCCCAGTGCGGGCCGTGGCGATTCAGAATACTAATCAAACCCAATATTGATCAAGGAAACCAGTGTGTGTGTTTCTTTCAGTGAGTGTGTGTGTGAATGTGTCGGTGTGTGTCGGTGTGTGTCGGTGTGTGTCGGTGTGTGTCGGTGTGTGTCGGTGTGTGTCGGTGTGTGTGTGTGTGTCTCTGTGTGTCTCTGTGTGTCTCTGTGTGTCTCTGCGTGTCTCTGTGTGTCTCTGTGTGTCTCTGTGTGTCTCTGTGTGTCTCTGTGTGTCTCTGTGTGTCTCTGTGTGTCTCTGTGTGTCTCTGTGTGTCTCTGTGTGTCTCTGTGTGTCTCTGTGTGTCTCTGTGTGTCTCTGTGTGTCTCTGTGTGTCTCTGTGTGTCTCTGTGTGTCTCTGTGTGTCTCTGTGTGTCTGTGTGTGTCTCTGTGTGTCTCTGTGTGTCTCTGTGTGTGTCTCTGTGTGTGTCTCTGTGTGTGTCTCTGTGTGTGTCTCTGTGTGTGTCTCTGTGTGTGTCTCTGTGTGTCTCTGTGTGTCTCTGTGTGTCTCTGTGTGTCTCTGTGTGTCTCTGTGTGTCTCTGTGTGTCTCTGTGTGTCTCTCTGTGTGTCTCTCTGTGTGTCTCTCTGTGTGTCTCTCTGTGTGTCTCTCTGTGTGTCTCTGTGTGTCTCTCTGTGTGTCTCTCTGTGTGTCTCTCTGTGTGTCTCTCTGTGTGTCTCTCTGTGTGTCTCTCTGTGTGTCTCTCTGTGTGTTTCTCTGTGTGTCTCTCTGTGTGTCTCTGTGTCTCTGTGTGTGTCTCTGTGTGTCTCTGTGTGTCTCTCTGTGTGTCTCTGTGTGTGTCTCTGTGTGTCTCTGTGTGTGTGTGTGTCTCTGTGTGTGTGTGTGTGTGTCTCTGTGTGTCTCTGTGTGTCTCTGTGTGTCTCTGTGTGTGTGTCTCTGTGTGTGTGTCTCTCTGTGTGTGTCTCTGTGTGTGTCTCTGTGTGTGTGTCTCTGTGTGTGTCTCTCTGTGTGTGTGTCTCTGTGTGTGTCTCTGTGTGTGTGTCTCTGTGTGTGTCTCTCTGTGTGTGTCTCTGTGTGTGTGTGTGTCTCTGTGTGTGTCTCTGCGTGTGTCTCCGTGCGTCGCTGTGCGTCTCTGTGTGTCTCTGTGCGTCTCCGTGCGTCTCTGTGCGTCTCTGTGCGTCTCTGTGCGTCTCTGTGCGTCTCTGTGCGTCTCCGTGCGTCGCTGTGCGTCTCTGTGCGTCTCTGTGTGTCTCTGTGTGTCTCTGTGTGTCTCTGTGTGTCTCTGTGTGTCTCTGTGTGTCTCTGTGTGTCTCTGTGTG